TACCATTTTTAAGAGAAATCTAACATTTAGGGGAATACCCTATCCAGCGAATGCCAGCCTAACCAAGATAATGTTTTGAATTATGTACCCTTTAGTTTGGCTACTACAGGGAATACTTTGAGGCCTCAAGGTCGCCCCTATAAAAACTCAATTAGCTTTATAAAATAGTCAATATCTCAGTCCTTTGTTCTTGAGGTGACGTATTTTTCTCCCCATAATCAAGGGAAGCAAAATCTCTGCCGTGAACGGTTTGTTCTTAGAGTCATGCCCTGGTACAAGGATTCATTTGTTTAAATAACACTGTTTATACAAAGGGCATATCAAAGTTAAAATAGTTTAAATAGAATAATGCCAAAAATATTTGGTTGCACCCTGAATGGTGACTGAAATGCATTTGTGCATTTTGATTTTTCAAAAACTTTAGCTTTTAAAGTTGGACGTGTTTTCCAAGATCTCTCCCTCTCTCCACATGGGTCTGGGAAATTAGCAAGTGTTTGACCTTTTTAAAAAAATGATGCTCCTCTTTTGTGGTTTGCAAGTATTTTGCTATCAAAGTTAATATTAATGAGGGCTGCTTATGTAGCTGACACCCTGCCAAGCCCTTAATAGGATGAAGAAGAAAGCGATGCGACATTAAGTCTTAATTTAGGGAACTAATCCAAACCCAAACACCTTTCCCCTCAGCTTGGTGAATTCCTGAAAGATTGAGGCGGCCACAGGCTTCTTGGTTCATCGCGGGGAGCTTACTTGCCTGGGCTGGGTTCAAGGCCTCTGAAGAATTTTTAGGGACAGGCTCAGTGAGATGCATGGCTCTTGATGCCCCCCAAATGCCTAATGTTGATAAGCATCAAAACGCCTAGAATTAGGAATTTAGTTGGAAGAAACGGGAGTATTTGCTCTGTGGTTTGGAAAATACAATCTTGCCTTTTTCTGGTTTCCAAAATTGTTATCCATGTAAAACTTTCCACTTAAACATTTTTTTTTTGCTCTATTTTTCAAGGAGAAGAAAGGGGAGGAGGGGAACCTTTCAGCTCAATAAGAATCACCTGTGGCCTGAACTAGGGGCTTAAATAAATGTCAACATTAACAACAAGGTATGAGGGAGATTCTCCCATCAAAAGGAGCAGTTCTCATTAGGGACACCCGTCAGTTTAACACATCAAACATTTATTGACTGCTTCCCAGGAGCCAGGAAGCCTTTTAATTCCGGGTTAATCTGTTCACCACCTCATCCAAAGCCTAAGTGGTTGGTGTATTCACACTGCCACACGCATCACCCTGAAAAGGCCAGGTGGAATTTAAAATAAAGGAAAAGGGACTAAACGGTCTCATAAGGAAGTATAAGTGTGTCCCAAACATTATTTAGGACTGTCATATTAAAAATGTATTCACTATTTGTCCAAAATTCAAATTTAACTACGTGTTCTATATTTTATCTGGTAAGCAAAGCCAATGGACTAAACTATGCAGTCAAAATGTCTTAAAAAAGAGGGAAAATGGTTTTCCGGAACTTTGAAAGTATCTGGCAATAAATAAGAACATTATAAATGCTGATTCAAATCATTATTGTAACTCTAGTCACATAAAATTATGTAATTTATCATGTAATATAAATTAATGAGTCTCTAAACCAGTGTAAGTTGAACTTTTGTAACTCAAATGTTTTCCCATTAGTTTATGTTAAAATTTTGGTAATGTTTCATCCTCATGTCTTATTAATTTGCAGTTGATTCTTTGTCAACTTTAACTTGCTATGTTCTCAGCTTTTTAATTAGTGGTCTATTCAGGAATTCTTAAATGGCTCAGGGGACCCCAGCATGTGAGTCCTTCTGTAAAACAAAGATCTTTTTTAGAATTTGAAGACTTTTTTTTTCGTATTTTGATTAATCACCCCTAATATATCAGTTTTAGAAGTTCAGATTCTGTACAAGTATGGATTTTGGAAACTGAGCACTGAGCACACCTGATTTCTTCTTTTATAGCTTATTATTCAAAGAAATAAGAAATAGCATAAGCAGCTCAGTTTTCAAAATGCGTAGTTCATTTCTTTATGAGACTGAAGTAGTTCATTTCTTTAAATCACAGTGATTTAAAGTTTGTTGTTGTTTTGTTGTTTTTTAAGAAAAAAGAAAACTTCCTAAGGAAGTCCACTTAGAAAGTGGTTCAGAGTAAATGACAAATTCAGAATACTCTCCGCCTCTTCCAGACCTCCTTGGGAAAATGTTACCCCCAGAGAACATGAGCCCTATCTGTACAGGCAGGATCAAGGAGGCATTGAGAACTAATGCTTTAAAGCTGCAGGAAGCTGGCCTGGGAGGGAAAGTCAGCTTGGGGATGGTTATTCAGCTCTCAGGAGGGAAATGGCTGTGCCATTCAGGACATCGCCCACTTCCTATGTGATGTGGGTTGTTTATTTTGGAGCCTTTTGTTTCATAATGGTGTCGTTTACAGCTGAAGTCCAAGTGTCCCCTTGAAAAATTGACTCTTTCGCCCTTCTTAATGTGACCTAAATTTATTCAAAAATTATCGAGGGCCTCCAGGGACCAGGTCCTATTGTAAGCACTTGGGATCCGTTGGTGAGCAAGCCAAGCAAAGGTCCCTGTCTCCTGGAGTTCGTATTCTGTCAGAGAAGACAGACAATAAATCACAAATATAAATGAGTTATACCATGTGTTGGAAGGTAGTAAACATTATTGTGGGGAGAGAAGAGGAGGACAGGAGGGTCTGGATTTGGGCTTGGGGAGGAACTGCATTTTAAACAGGGAGGTCAGGGTGGGGACATTTGAGACAAGAGTTGAAGGGGATATGGGAAGTGAGCCACTGGGTGCTCTGAGGAACAACTTCCAGGCGGAGAGTAAACAGCCCTGAGTCCCTGCTTGTGTCCGAGTCTGACTTGTGATTCTCAACCCACCATGATTTTGCTTCCAGGGGACATTTGGCAATGTCTAGAGGCACTTAATTTCACTACTGGAATAGGAAAGGGATACGACTGGCATTTCTTGAGTAGAGGCCAGGGATGCTACTAAACACCCTACAATGCACAGGACAGCCCCCCACAACACAGAATGATCCAGCCCAAATGATCAGTAGTGCTGAGGTTGAGAAACCGTGTCTGAGGCACAGTGAGGAGAAGAGACGCAGAGGATGAAATCAGAGGTAGCAAAGGCTGGGGGAGAGGCGGTGGTCAGGCCAGGTGGGGCCCGAGGAGCTTATGGACGTTGGCTTTTCCTCCCAGAGAAATGGGGAGTGTTTGGAGCAGAGGGGAGACATGAGCTGCATTAAAAGTTTTAGGAGTGTTGTTCTGACTGTTGGGTGGAAAACTGACTGAAGGATGGTAAGGCTGGGGTGAGGCAGTTCAGCGGCTGTTGAGGTTATCCAGGCAAGAGATAATGGGGCCCAGACCAGGGTGGGAGCAGCTTCCTGACTTCTGTGCAGCAGAACCATCCAAGGCCAAGTTTTAGATGTCAGGCAGCAAGGTGCTCTGGGTATTTCACACAATCCCCACTCTATTCATTACGATGTGCCATATATTTTACATATATTATCTATCTATGTGGTTAAGTAGCCTTCGCTGTATTTTTTTTTATACAATAGGATACCTGATATCTGTTTTAACAATCAGTTCATGACAAAACAATTTGATGTGGGTGAGGCACAATGTAACCCTTCTCTGCTTTAACATGGTCTTGGCAAAAACACATTCATTCACCCTTACTAACAACTCTTTTGTGGTAAATTTCTTTAAGCCATGTATAACCCTAAACATACTAAATTAACTGAAAATGGGATGAGGGGAGCGTGAAAGGTCTAGTACCTAATAAACAGGTGTTTGAATTGCCTTCCTCTTTTAGAAATGTATTAAATTGTTCAAATAGTTAGTCTTCTCTTACTTGATCAGCCAAAGCAAATGCTGAAACACAGCAGAAAACACCAGGAGATAGCTAATTCCCGCTTTTACCCAAAGGTCTCAAATATCTTAGCAGCATTGCCTCATCATTCCTCCCTGTGATGGTCTTAAAGTACATGTCTTATCCTGTTTGCAACCGAAGACAGTGGGAGTCGTGTGACAGCTTGTGTGACAGCCTGCAGCAGAGGCTGGACCCTATCCTGGGGGTCAGGCTATATCTATTCCACAAACAGCATCTCATTCCACTTATTGCTAAGACACATTTCCATGTCATCCGACAGTATTACCATATTTTTTAACTCATGCTATTCTAAGGAAGTGGTAAATTAGTCCCTTTGTTAATGAAAAGTACACTGTTTGTCAGTCTCTTAATGTTTTTTAAAATATAGTTGAGTTCATGAACTTTTCAAAATAGTTCTATCAAAATGGTTCTTCTCCCACTCAGCCATGCAGAGGTGTTAAGTCAAGGTAGATTTCAGGGAAGAGACCTGGGTATTTCCGATGAAAGCAGCCATGTTGGAAGACTTCCCGCTCCAGGATGATCCTCTCTTCAGGATTTCCAAAGTATGGCCCATGGATCACCTCCTTCAGAATTCCTCCCGGGCTTGTTAAAAATACAGGCTCTTTGGCCTCTCCCCTAAGGGTAGTGATCTGCATCTCACTGAGCATCCCAGCTCATTCTCATTCACACTCGCAGTTACAAACCACTAACTGCTCTACACTATGTTATTAAACAAGAAAAATGGCCTGCCGGGATCAGCCTGCTCACAGCAACCTCCATACAGACTTGTTAAAAATGGCAGATGTTAGTCCAATGAAGACGCTTATAAGAATTTATTTTCCACAAGAAAGTGTGTCACCCACCATGTTAGTCTCCCCTTTCAACTGAATAATTTTCCTTCTGTGGAGTCTTGGAGGGTGCATTTTAGCCTCTGTTCTTGGGGGATTACAGCAGTCGCTTAGTTCTATAGGCCGATAGTTTCGCTGTGGGTCCAGTCGGGGCCGACTTTAGGAGACACTTTGATCTAGAAGACGGCTTGAAATGATCATTGCTGTTGTCTCACGTGACCGTTTCTGTTTTCTTGTTGAACAGCAAATATGCCAGAGGATTATCCTGATCAATTTGATGATGTCATGGATTTTATTCAAGCCACCATTAAAAGACTGAAAAGGTCACCAGACAAACAAATGGCAGTGCTTCCCAGAAGAGAGCGGAACCGGCAGGCTGCCGCTGCCAACCCGGAGAATTCCAGAGGGAAAGGTCGGCGAAGTCAGAGGGGCAGAAATCGGGGTTGTGTCCTCACTGCCGTCCATTTGAATGTCACTGACTTGGGTTTGGGCTACGAAACCAAGGAGGAACTGATTTTTCGGTACTGCAGCGGCTCCTGTGAGGCCGCTGAGACAGTGTACGACAAAATATTAAAAAACTTATCCAAAAGTAAAAGACTGGGGAGTGACAAAGTAGGGCAGGCCTGCTGCAGACCCATCGCCTTTGATGACGACCTGTCATTTCTAGATGATAACCTGGTTTACCATATTCTAAGAAAGCATTCCGCTAAAAGATGTGGATGTATCTGACTCCGGCTCCAGAGACTGCTGTGTATTGCATTCCTGCTACAGTGCAAAGAAAGGGACCAAGGTTCCCAGGAAATGTTTGCCCAGAATGGAAGATGAGGACCAAGGATGCAGAGGAGGAGGAGGAGGAGGAGAGGAAGGCAGCCATTGTGGGAGCCTGGTAGAGGGAGATCCAGCTACAGCAAACTGGACAGGAGAAAGAAAGCCGCCATCCGGATTATCCCGGAGGGCAGCCAATGCCACCAGAAGCTCAGGGCTGGTGTCCCCGGTTGGGTATTGCCATTGTTTCATCGGATACAGTCCACCATCACCGGTCACAGGCGCAGTTGCGGATGCACTTGAAACCAAACCAGTGTATCTCCTGTGGTTTGTTTTCACATGTCTGGAGACACCGGGGAAAAGTAAGCCTGGTGTCATTCCTTGTCATGACGTTTTTACTGCTGAAAGCAAGAAAGGTTTATTTTTCTGTCACTCAGTGGAGACATACCCCGGAAAAGAGGGGGCGGGGGGAAAAAAAGCAAAGACACGAGAGAGTAACCTTTGAATTGGAAAGTTGAGGCCTGAGGTTTACTACAACCAGCGTGTTGTGAATGGCTGGTGATTGTTTTTGAACATGGTGTGTGGGGTGGGAAGAAGTTGGCTAGGAACCAAAAAAGGCTGTCCTCATGACTAAAAAACAACCTGAAGGTATTTCCTTTATGTCCTTGGAAACAGGAAACCAGTTGTGGTTTTCGGCAGCATTCTTGCAGGAGAGCAAGTGGGAAAGGCCACCCGCTCATGGGGGCAGGGAGACCCACCGGCCTGTCCGTTTACAGAGAGACAGATGTTACATACGCCCCAGCTCCGTTTATGCGTGGTCACCAGTGACCAGAGAAGCTACTCGATGCAATGCATCTGTTTCAGATACAGAAATATAGAGAAGATATTTATTGAGATTTAAGTTATTGTTATTTATTACCGTTCACTAATGAGTTTCTCTTTTTTTTCCCCTTATTTATTAAAGTTTCTTTTCAAAGGTGCCAAAGTATATGTGCTCGCAAAATGCAAAGAAAGGTGACAAAGGAAATTTTAATTGGGAACAAGGGTCCATGCTTTTCAAAGTATTAAAATGTTTTTCGCTAGGCAAAAATCACTTACTTTACCTTTTTTAGACAAGCCCTCGTTAACTTCCCCAGATTTCAACATCTTCCCTAGTTTTCTTTTTAACAAAAGAAATGTGTCTGAAGGAATGTTTCTGACAGGAACGTTTCCTTTTCGGGAGCCATGTGCAGAGACCATTGGCACTTGGTTTTACTTCTTCATTGCTCCATCTCTGAAGAGAAATGCCATATGCTCCATTTTCTGTTGTGTTTAAGCTCTTACTCCCCTCCACATATATCTATTTATGGTATGCATAACCATATATATGAAAGGTTAAATTCTTTTAGTAGGCAGTCCTGGATTCAATGTTGACCTGAAAGTAAAAATCCTGTCAGGTAGCAGGGGTCCACCCTGAGTGGAGGCTCTTCCTCCATCCTTCCACCCACTGTTCCTGAGAAACAGGCTGGTGCGCTGTGCAGCCAGGGAGCACGCTGCTGGCCTTCCAGGAGTGAGGTCTGCTGGTTGCTGTAAACCCGCATTGGCTGTCATCTCAGGACAATAGTTGCTGTTCCTGTACACCCGATCCCTTCCTGGGAAGAAGGTGGCCCAGAAGGGTGGATGGGAAGACGTGTCTGGCCTGGCCACACACCAAGGCTCGAGCTCCTAGAGTGTACCACCTTTATGATGAACGTCTTCAGAAGGGAGAAAGCTAGGGTGGGAACAACCACCTCATATGTGCCCTAGATCATGGATTTGCCTGACAGCCGACCCATGCACAATGCACGAAGCCTTATAATAGAGCTTGTTACATACTTCATAAAAGGGACTTTTATCAAGGAGATAAAAATCAAGGAGATTATCACTACCTTCAAGGCTAGTCACCCAAAAGTATGACAGGTTTAGCAATTAAATGACTTTAAGGGCCTCCCTCAAATAATCATGTTAATTTTACAAAGTAACCAAGAGGCGGTAGTTACCACACATCCCTTCCCCTCAGCCCCAAAAGACCCAAGTTTCCATCGTTCTGCCCCTTTCTGTCCTTTCTGCTCCCCTTGCACGACTCGGAAATAGAGGAAAATGCCTCCCTCCCCCTCTCCTGGGGCCAGAGCGGGACCTTGCTCAGCAAGGAACAGTCTGCTCAGAACAGTGACAGACAAAGCAGTCTGGTCATTCAAGCACAATTTGACATCGCCCCAGGATCATCTGTCCCATTCAGACATCCTGGCAGGTTTGGTGGCTGGTATCTCCAGGTATCAACTCAGTCAGCCCCTAGCTCCCCATGGAGAGTCACTGCCCAGAGAGGCTCTAGGATTCAGTGGGTGTTGACAACTGGTTCCCAGCGTCACCTACACACCATAAGCAGGTTTTAACTGAAGCCAATCACTCTACCAAATCCACAAAAGGGTAAAGTTTGTGATTTTTCTTAATCGTTACAATTACCACCTGATCCAGTAAGGAGTGCACTTCTTTGGAAGTTCTGACTTCTCTGTCGGTCGTTTGTGTTATTCAACCAAAGTTCTCTACAGACTTTATTTTTGTACAATATCATTTTGTAACTTTTTACAAATAAAAACTCATTTCTATTGCTTTCTATACTTCCATACTTCCTCGCGTGCCCGGGGACCATGGCTGGGCCAGACAACCATCCACAAGGATTTATTATCAGCCAGCCATGGGTTAGAAGGCCATCCCCTTCACCACACAGCCCATTGGTTGGTCAATAGCCTTGCCCATAAACTCTCCACAACCATTCACCATCCAGGTGGGGAAAAACTTGCAAAATCATTCTGCATTTATTCACTCAGCAAAAACTTATGTTTTGCCTATACTATGCCAGGCACTCACTTGCTCAGGGCACCAGCCACCCAAAAGTGGCCAAAGCAAAAATCTCCACCTTCATGGATTTGATATTTTATCTGAGTGGAGCTAGACGATATTCAATAAAGTAAAACTATGTGGTAACCAAGTGATGATAATTGCTATAAAGAATTCCAACAAGATATTATAACAGAAAACAACAGGGAGCCTTCTTTAATTAGAGGTGACATTGAGGCAGGACTTTAGAAATAGTGCCAACAAATAAGGAGCACCCTGGCAAACCCTGAGGCAGGCAAATGCTTGGACGGAGCCACCACTTTGCACAACTCTGAGTGATGCCATTCACATCGGTTCTATGTGGCAATGTAGCAGAATCTCTGGAATTGTGCAAATGGTGGCCTTGAGCTTAGTGTATTTTGGTGGCAAGAAAAACACACCAAAGAGAGGAAATGCCAGTGCCCTGGATTGGGGGAGGAGAGCGTGCTTCCTCCTCGGATGACACACCCCGTGTTATATCACTGACGGCCTTGTGACTATTAAAGGATGGCCTTGTGTGGTGTTTTAAACCCAAAACAAAACCCTGACACTCTTATGACTCTTCGAAGTGGCCGCCAGCCTAGGCCTTCCAGCAGACAGCACTCAGTACTGTGCCAAGCTTTGCCTGAGATGCCCCTCCTTCCTAATGCTCACTGACTCGCCACACTGAGACTCGATGGAGTCTCAGGTGCCCACTTGTGGGCTAGAGCATTGAGAGTCCTGCCAGGGCAGTGCTGAGGCGAGTTGTGCTTTCTTTGCGCCACATTCTGGTATGAAGTTAGTGACTTGGAGAGGGAACTGCAAGAGGTTGTAAAATGCTTACTTACTTCCACTCCTGTTTTAGAGCCCTTTTCCCCAAAGTGTGTTCCCAGGATGAATAACCTGGTAAGATGCTCCTCAAAAAAAAGGAGGATGGGGTGGTCTTGGATCAAATAAGTTTGGAAAACATTGAGTTAAATAACATCAAACAGTTTTTAGAAGTTAAAAAGAGAAGTGTGGAAGTTATCAGAGCCTTTATCAGACTAATGAACATTGTGACAGGCCAGGAGGGGCATAGCGTGCAGAATTCCCCAGGTGCCTGGGACCATGAAACCACCTGTGGTTTTGGTTTCTTTCTCTAAACACCTGCTGACTGTCCCTTGAACCTACTTTGGGCCATGTTGCCTGCTCACAGAAGCATCAGGGAGTCACGAAGGGCGCTAGAGATCAGGAAAGAGGTGGAAACTGCTTGGCAGCTCCCACGGGAAGGAAACCTCCCCCCCAAACACACACACTCTGGTCATTGGGGGCACTGGTTTCTTGCTCAGCATGATTCAACAGTGGTCAACTTGGGAAATTTCATTTCCACAGGGAGAATGTGAGAATGAATTTTGCCCAAGGAAAGGAGAATGTGTTGAAAGTTGGGGAATTCTTAGCAATCAGAAGGGGAACTTTCACTGTGCTTACTGAAAATCCTCTCCAGGCTCAAACTGAATTGCGGGTGCTTTGGCTGGTCCCCAGTCCTGAAGGACTGAGTGCCCCTTGCAGTGGTCTCCAGAGGGAATGCTGCCTTCGTTGGGCTTCTGAATTCCTTGTTACTGGGAAGGGTGTGAGAGCACTGGGTCAGGAACCCAGACACCAGGCGCTGACAGTCTCACGTGGCTATGCCCATGAGGTAGTCTCAGGCTGGTTTTCTCCTGTGTGGCCAGCGCTGAGTGAAGTAAAGGGTTAAAGCAACTTTTCAAAGAATCAATCCATGCCCAAGGTAAAGGTGGAAAGTCAGAGTTTCCTGAACCTGTCTCAAAAACAGAAAGCACCCCCCGCCTTCACACGCAGGGTCCTGCTTGGGCCATAGCTGACTTGCTATCTGACCCCCGGATCACCAAGTGGAGGGAGCCAGAGACCTCACACTGTCCACCTTTGCTTCTCAGAAGAGCAGCAGGGAGGGGATGTAGGTGTCAGCCACAGGCCTCAGGCTTTCTTCCATCAGGTAATGAAATGTCTGAGCCCAAAGTGTCTTCTTGGGACACATATTTGTTCACAGAAGAGTTCCTGTAATCCCATGCAAGAGATCAACCTTCATCTTATCACACAGTGTCCTGGATGAAATTAAACCCAATGCTGCCAAGTCATCCCTGCAAATAACTAGATAGTGGGGGAAATAAAGGGAAAGCACCCATTTACTCATATGTGACAACTAAAACATTGCCACAGCCTGTCCAGCAGCAGGTGAGGGTAACCATGATGGGAATGCAGACTGGGGTTGAGGATGTATGGTGACGGGGGCATACAGAGCACTAGACTAATGAGCCTCCGCAAGCAGCAGGTGGGAAGAAAACCTGAAAGGAAAATGAATCGGACAGCTACAGAGTAGGGTTGCCAGGTCCTTTGAATTTTAGTTAAACATGCATAATTTCTTAGGATAACTGTCTCGTGCAAGATTTGGGACGTGCAATACTTGGGGCAGACTTACACTACAGTGATTACTTGTTGTTTATCTGAAATTCAGCTGGGCATCCTGCATTTTAATTTGCTGAATCTGGCAAGAGAGCGTGACATTCGAGCTGGATCTTGAGTATGAGCAGGAATCTGTCAGGTGGATGGGGGCAAAGGGTGGGGGTGGGGCGAGGGACAGGCAGGCATTCCAGGCGGAAGGAACAGTGCGACCCAAAAAGACTGAAGGGGACTGTGTGTTCCAGGAGCAGTGGGGAGGTTTAGGGAGCAGTGGGTTCAGGCACAGCAGATGCCCTGCCCAGGGGCCACCAGATTTTTAGAGGTTCAAGACAATGTTTTAATTTTAATATTTTTAGAATCAGAAAAAAAATGAATATAACTATAATGAATATATAATAACAAATCCAGCCTGGATTATATTTCTCTTTATATACCAACAGTCATATCATTTTTAGTATTTTTTATGGAGAAGGGGCCCACAAAGGCAAAAGTGTCGAGGACCCACAAAAGTCATAATGCAACCCTCGTGTGCTGCTACTAACAGACTTTCCATGTCCTGTCCTTGCAATTTCTCTCTAGTTTTCCCTTTCTCACTCGATCACTAAAGCCAACCTTGTCTTGAAACATACCTTCTTCCCACCCTTCACTTTAGATTGTCTTCTTAAGATAGTTGCATTTACTTCCTACTTAGGGAAACACACCTAAGGGCAGACGAGAATCATTCCAAGACTCATTCACTGTCTTTGAGAAAGGACAACATGTACCAGGTGACCCAGGGCAGACTGGCAGTCAAGGGGATGATGACGGTAGGAAGAACAGATCAGACAGAAGGCAGGTGGTGAGAGAGGGAGAGAGACCTCAGGATCCAGGAAAGCAGAGAACTAGCAGTCAGTGATGACGAACAAGGATGAGGTTTATAAACATGTGGAGTGGACTCATTTCACTGGAGAAATTCTTTAAAGTGGTACATGTCGGAGATTTTAATCTACTTCCTGCTCCGTGCCTGGGCCCCATTGCATTCAATTAATTATTGAGCATCTACTTCCTATCACAGGAGGACATCAAGATAAAAGGATATAAAGATAAAGCTCACATCTGAGGGACTCCCAGATTAGAGGGACAGAAATAGAGAATTAAAATACACATGAGGAAGGTGGTGATAAAGATTCACAGTATGTTACGAGAGCGTCAAGAAGGGACCAAAAAAATCCAGCTGAGGCTGGAGGAGAGAAAACGTATCAGGGACTGCTTCCTGGAGGTGGCTGCCTGAACGGGTTATTAGAGGATGAGTAGGAATTTTCCAGACTGGAGTTGGGAGAGGAGAGGGCATTATAGGCAGAAGGGACTCTAAGAGCTAAGCCAACAAGACTAGAAACATCCTGGTGTGCAGTGGCTCGGGAAGGTGGAGATGGGGGCAAGGCCAGAGCCTTGGAAAGCAGGACTAATGAGCTGCATTGGGCAGGAAAGGAAAGGAAGTGATGAGGCGGGGGCTGGTGAGAGGCATGGGGGACAGGGAGCTCTTACTCTGCCAGGCTCTAGCTCACTGGCCATCCTTAGGAAAAGGATTGCTTTTGATTTTCACACCTGACCTCTTCCTTTCAGACCCTCTGCTGCCCCAGCCTCTCTCTCAATCTCATTCTCTCAAGGCCTTGCCTACACTGCTTTCATTCTCCACAAAACGCCCATCACTGGGAACATCTACTTTCCACAGGGGACCCAGTAGGACTGAAAAGTCCTCCAGACCAGCATTTCCCAAACTGCCTAGTTGAACACTAGGGAGGCATTTGTGGAAGAAGGGGTTTCTTGGTTTTAAAAATTGGGGAAATACTCCACATTGTATTCTCCTTTCAGGGAGAGACAACACACATTAGCATATTAAATAAGGCCCTAAGAAGGCCTGCAGAGGAAAAAAACTGTTTAATTTGGTTTAACCCAGCATTCTTATTTGACCAAGAAGCATCTGTTGACATCTAATAGAAGTGTTCTGCTGGACACAGCTTGGAAAATGCTATTTTAGAACCAAAGGAATGAATCTCTAATAGAAGAATTATGGACACAAGGAGGTAAGTTATTCCTGGGAAGGGGGAGCTTTCCAAACCACCATCAGTATAAGGCACCCTCGGCCTGAAGGACCTGACAAATAGCCACCACATTTTCTTACATGTACAATTGGACAGGTCCAGGAAGCAGCCAAACTCAGCCATGTTCTCATTTCTTGCTGAGCCTGAGCTGAGTTAACTAACCC